GATATGCATCAAAGGTGCATCAAAAAAGCATTAATGCAACAAATGCATTAAGAACTGTTCCATTCGTCTCGCAAAAAACTTTCCATTTTGACTTTTAAAGGATTTAAGGTGTGTCTATTTTGATATTGACTTTCCAAAAATGTCCTTTGATGTGATGGATAAAGTAGGATGTGATGGGTAGATTAATAGAAAAAAAGTGTGATGTGATAGATAGGTTAAGAATTATTAAGGGTAAAAGTGACTTTTTAATAGAGAAAAGGAAGAGTTTTTTAGGACGGATGAAAAAGAAAAGGAAAAGGGTCTTGTGGGATAGAGGGAGTATAAAATAAACATGGACCTTAGGTCCAAAGAATTTGCCAAAAAGAGAGGTTACAAAGTCTTGATTTTCCGAAACTTCGCAATTAGACAAAAGTGGTGGAACAAAGAAGAGGAGATTAAGGAAGAAAAGAGCCAATTGACATATGGTAAACACCAAGTTTAGTTTTATAGTCGTTCCCTGCCAACTCATATTTAATTTTATAGAAAAGTGCACCATTTACTTCCGAATTCTTCGGAAATTATACGGGTTATATCTGAACATTAAAAAATATACCAAACAGACCTTGATTCTTCAAAAATTACACGATTTGTCCCTGAACATTAAAAGTGCACCAAATACCCCTGAATTCTTCGTAAATTGCATGATTTTCTCCAGAATATTTAAATAAAGGCGATAATTTTGGGGAATGACACTTTAGAGAATTTACAATGGCCAGATCAATCATACTCACAATTCTCATGTGTGGGAGCAACGCACTTCCTATCTAGCATTTTAACACTAACGGTGCAATGTTTTAAATTATTCAATGATATTTGGTACACTTTTCAATGTTCAGGTATAAAACGTGCAATTTTTGAAGAGTTCGAGTGTAGACGATGCATTTTTTTAACGTTCAGAGATAAACGATGCACTTTTCTCTATAATTTTATTAGTAAACCCTATTATAATGCTATTGGGTACTTTGTACTATGGCAATTTCAAAACCTCATTTAAAGGTTTTGTTTGTTTGAGTGTTAACCTTAATTTTCAATATTTTTTTAATTCTTTCCAACTTCTTCCAACTCTTTTCAATTTTTTGTGACTCCTTCCAATTCTTTCCAAGTTCCAACTCCTTCCATTTTTTTCCTACTCTTTAGCGTTTCTTCCAACTCTTTCTAGTTTTTCGACCCCTTCCAGTTTCTTCCAACCCCTTCTAGCTTCTTCCAATTTTTTCCAATAATGATTTAAAAAATTATTAAGTTTATGTTCATATATTACTATGATTATTAATATTATTATCTCAAAAAAATAAAAAAAAATTAAATTCCTATTTTATTAATATGTTATGTCCTGGATATAAATTTTAGGTTCCGTTCCATTCAACTTATTTTTTCTGATCTGATCTGATTTTTTGTAGTTCTGATCTGATCTGATCTAATCTAATCTGATCTGATAGGATCTGATCAGATTTAATATGATTGGATCTGATCTGATCTGGTCTGATCTGATTGGATCTGATCTGATCTGATCTGATTGGATCTGATCTGACCTGGTCTGATTAATTACGATTTGATTTAAAATTCAAATCAATAATTTGATTTTACTTTATAATAACATTTGAAAATTGTAATGATAATTCATATTATAATATAATCAATATTTTTTATTTTATGATTATTTTTTAAAAAAATAAAATTAGTTAATTCATACTCCCTCCGTCCACAAATAAACTTTACATTGCGCGTTACGATGTTTGACTGAAGTTATTTTTAAATCATTTTATATGAAAAATGGTGTGAAATTTTAAAATAAAAAGCACATATTAAAAAACTATATCAAAAGATCTACAAAACTAGAGGTGACATGACTATATTATTTTATCAAATGGGTAACGAAAATAGGACAACAAAGTGAATAAAGTTTGACCCTGTGAATAGTGAACGTAAAGTTTATTTGTGGACGTATGGAGTATTTTAGAATAATCATTCATATTATAATGTTATAATATTTTTTATTTTATGATTATTTTTTGTGAAATTAGAATATTAATTTAATATTTTAATAATTACTTCATATATACATTAAAATAAATATTTAATTTATATATACATTAAAAAGTAATTAAATTTAGATAATCATAATATAAAAGAGATTGTCTTTTTATTAAAATATATCATCCTTATAAAAGATCAAAACTTTAGAAACTCAAATTACAAGTAGCAATAAAAAATGTATTTTAAAAGTAGAATTAGATTGACATTGTCAATATATTTTAAAAATAATTTTTACGAAGTCTAATAATTAAGGATTTCTTTCTCAGTTTTCTATTTAACTTGTTTCCAAAGTTTATTCTTTTTCATTTTTAAGAATAATAATAGTAATAATAATAATAATGATAATAATAATAATAATAATAATAATAATTCTTGATGGGATCTGATTGGATCTTATCTGATCTGATTGGATCTGATGAGATCTGATGAGATCTGGTCTGATATGATCTGATTCGATCTGATCTGATCTGGTCTGATCTGATCTGATTTTAATAAGAATTAGAAAAAATAAGAAAAATAAGTTAAACGGAACGGGGCCTTAGTTACCATTATAGATTCACGTAAATTATTAAAATCTTAAATTAATTTATTTATATTTTCCTTTGTGATTTTGAAATTTTCATTAACTACTCTCTTCCTCTTAGGATATTTGTCCAGTTTGACTTTTTCGAGTCAAACTGAACAAATTTTGAGCTTCAATTAAATAAAAATTGTAATGTTTTTTAACATAAAAATGACTTTATTGGATTTATCATATTGAGAACTTTCAAAATTGTATTTCATTATGCTAATATGCAATATAAATTGAGAGTAATTGGAGTTCAAAGTTTGTCCAGACTCGAAAAAGTCAAACTGGACAAATACACTGAGACGAAGATAGTATGTTTCTTTTAAATGTGTTCTAGTCAACATTTTAAAATTTTCACCAAAATAATTATACACTCTATTTTCTTCTATTAAATATTACATATCTTTTAAATGTGCATACACTAATAATTGTTATAATGTGCGTGTTCTAAGCTACGCAAAATACTAAATGTTCACATATCAATTTAACAGGGGAAGAAATAATTGTATATAATTAATATTGTTTTTTTTAAATATGCAAATGTCAGATGTATATTAAAAACTGTCTTTGTTGAATAGAAATTCACGATAACACTTTTATAAAATAAAAAAGATTAAAAAAGAAAAAAATTATTTAAATATTCTTGAGACATATGAAAAACGAAATACTAAAATTGTTTTAAGGAAACTTTTTTGTGCCTTTTAGTATACCCATTTTCTTTTTTTTCTCTCTCATTATTTTAGAACAGTAAACTTTTTCTAATAAAAATAGGAAATGTTTAGAAAATAAAAATAACTTAACCCCTTGTAAGCACAAACCCCTAATTATAGTCCGAACAAATTGTCATCATTTTTTATGCCCTTTTATTTTTTTCTTTTTCACTCCTTATTTTGGAATAGTGAAATTTTTGTAATTAAAAAAGAAAACTTTTGAAAATAAATTCAACTCAAATTCCTGTAATCACTGGCCTCTAACTAGAGTCTTCTTGTGTTCTCTTCTTGAATTTGGTGTTTTAGCTAGGTTCCTTTGCTAAAAAAATTTATTTAAGTTGTTTTGAATTATTGCTCAAAACTTTGTTATTTTGAGATTAGAATTCTGAAAAGTGATATATACTTTGTAAGAATTACTCCGTTGGAAATGACAAAATTTTAGATAATTAGATAAAAAAATACGAATCATTTTAAATCAGTAATTTCTAATTCAAAATAAACATTATTAGTCTCGGATCATTTTTAAAATTATTTTGATATACAAAATGTGATGTAAGATTAGTTTTTTTGGTCGAGACATCGTCATTTAATATAAATCCGGTTTTTCTTTTAACTAAGATTACTAAAAAGTATTTTTTTTCTTTCTATTTTTGTTAAATGGAATAAAGACATACAATTAAAAAATGAAAATTACAAATACGATTTCCGATAAAATATAATGACATAAAAGAGAAATTAAAATTCTAAAAAGTAAAGTACACTTTTTAAAAAAAATATGAATTTATAAAATAAAATATTTATTTTAATATTTTTATTTTTTTGAACTCTTTAAAAAGTAAAGTACACTTATCCTCTTCTTTCTTACTCCGTACTTTTTTTTGTTATTTACAAATAGTACTCGTGTAAAAATAATATTTGACTTATAATTACTCTATATATATATATATATATATATAAAATCAAATACTTAATGGAATAGCGTAAATAAACAAAAATATATCGAGAGGAGAAAAAAAATTGTGATCAAAATGAGGACAGAGAAAATATTTAGTTATAATGTTAATAAAATTTGATTTATCTTAAAATATAATATTAGAATATCAAACTTTTAAAATATTTATCTATTTAAAATTATATTAAATTTGTAATCAAAAGGTGTCAGAATTTGACAAAAAATGTCAAACTCTGACTATCTTTTGGGGACGGAGAGAGTATTAATTAGAAAAATAATATATTACAAATATTTTATACAATAAATCTAATAAAATAATCACTTTTATTGAATTTTAGATCAAAATTTATCAATTTTAACAAAAAAAATAACATTGAGCAAATTCTAAGAGACAGAGAGAGTAAATAAATGATACTCCCTCTATCCCCCCTAAGATCTTCTTACTTTGACTTTTGGTGGTTTTTAAGGAGAGTTGAAAAAAGGTTAAAATTTACCAAAGTACCCTTAATGAAAATGGGTGGGGTGTATTAAATAAGGTGGAAAAGGTGTAATAAATAAAGTAAGTAGGGGTAGTTGTGCTATTTTAAAGGTTAAAAAAGATAATGAGAATATCTATGTGGGACAAATAAAAAGGGATAATGGGAAGATCTATGAGGGACGGAGGGAGTAGTAAATAAAAGGGAAGCAATAGATAGAGTTGGAACGGTCTCATTTTTTCTACTTTTCATGCAATGCAAGAGATTGAGTTTGGGATTTGCATTGAATATGGTCTTACAGTTGGTCAACCTTAGAAAAAACAAAAATTAAAATGAATACACTGTACTTTGATCATATATGAACTGTATATAATTTGGAGGAGGAGGAGGGGGGGGGGGGAACTGATTAGCAAGACAGCGATCATACGTCAACCTTAGATTTATTCCTCGAATGACCAAAAACTACAATGCAGAATCAATAAAAAACATGCCAATCCTGAGGTGAAGAACTTCTGTTTTTAGCCAAACTTCTTTTTACCACATGCACCGGTACAAACCCCGTAAATATTTGCTCTAATCTGAAGCTCCTCGACCACGGCCTCTGCCACCGTACCCACCACCATATCCTCTTCCAGTGTATCCTCCTCCGGTGTATCCTCCTCCACCTCCTCCACCATTGTAATATCCTCGAGACCGGCCCCCACGATAAGAGCCACGGCCACCACGGCCACCACCCCTGTACCTTGAGAAATCTCCAAATGTCTACAGAGATGCAGAATGACATTAACTCGGTTACTCTTTAAAAAAAACATCATCGAATTTGTGTATAGGAAAGGAAGGCTTGGATGGAAGGTTTCTTGGTATATAGATTTACAATTTGATATGCATTCAAAACCTTGCCCATACAAACAGACCCTTAAGGTGGTGATTGTACCTCAACATCAATCTTCCTTTGCTCAGAGAATCTAGTCCTTGCTTGATTGGATTCTCTGTCCAGAGCATTGGAAGACAGAGAGTCGAAAAAGTCGTCCTTGTTATAAACAGGCTGCAAATCAAACACGGATTCCAGATATTATTTGTCAGGTTGAACACTAGTTTAAAAAAAACAGAGATGCATGTTAGAAACAACAGTGGGGTGACAACCTTGACATCAGCCGTGGGAAGGTCAGCGCCATCCTGTTTGTGAAAATTATTATCTTCACCATTGTCATTTGCATTCCTTTTGTCCCTTGTATCGGATTTGGCAGTCTTACCAAGATGACCCCATACTTCATCTTTATTAAATTTCTCATTCATGGCCATAAAATCAAACTCCTCCGTAAAAGTTGTCAATGGCCTTGAGATCTAATATATAAAAGTTAAAAAAAATGAACTGATTGTGAAACACATGCAATGAACTATCCTGTAATCAGGATCATGAGAACAAGCATACTGCACGTATAACCAAAAGACTGAGAAATGAAAAGAAAAGAAAGTATCACTTATCAAGTTCCTACTTTTCTGTTTCATTTGTTAATATATATCAAGTCATCTTGGAAAAAAATAAGTTGTCTAATAAATACTTCCAAGTCCCAAACACTGATTTAAGCACAAACATGGAGAAAAAAAACTGCAACAAGACAACCTAGGAACTTTAATTAGAAACAGAGGAAGTAATAAATACCCCAGTTCCTCTTCCTCCACGTCCCCTATAACTGTGCCGCATCTGATGTGAAGCTCCATTCGGCTATAGGTCAAAACAGGGATATTACAAAAAGTCAGTTCCTAGTGCACAAGTTAAACAGCAGATAGAGCAGGAAGTATTTAAATAGTAACGCAGCAGATAGAGAATGTAAAGCTGAAAACATAAAGCTGGAAAATGGGAACTGGAAGGGAAAAAATAAAGACCCTTTAGCCCTCTCTTCTTTTTTCTATCACTCTCTCATGTCACGCCTCACACCAATGTTTTTGGTTGGCATAGATAGATTTACAGAAAAAATCTCAAGACATATTTGAACATTTTGCAATGCATAGTTGTTCTAAAATGGTCTCCACAATCAAAGTTCCAGAGTCATGTCAAAAATTTGAAAATGAAAGAATGTACATTGGCAACCAAGATTACAATGTCATATTAGAAGGACATGAAAATGCATGGGAAACAGAAAAACTGTGCATGAAAAGTAAATACCCTTTGTACATATGTTTGTTGAGGTAATGGCAAAATCGGCGGCTGAGCTTCAGATTTTACAGTTGCTGACTGTTCTGATGGTGACACTTGAACCACTTCAACGTCCTTTTGTACAGTCTGTACTGATTGATTTGGTAGGACAGCAGTGGGTCCAGATGGCAATAGATGTCCAGGAGTTAGTAGTGAAGGTGTGGCTGTCTCCACTGGAGCACTAGTATTTGAAGGTCCAACAGAAACTTTAGTTTGAGACATAGCTGGGAAATGGCTGGGTATATTGCTGACAAGAGACCCAACAGCAGTTGCACCAGGGACTGTAGGAGAAGGAGCAGATGCTGACAAAGTAGAATTAAAAGTTGTTGAGGGAACCGCTGTCAATGAAGTCTTGTTTGACAAAGTACTGGGCATTGTTTCAGAACTGGGTGGCGGATTCTGAAATGGCAGAACAGATGAAGGCAAAGTTGGTACAAGTTGTAGGGGCAGCACAGTTGAAGGCAATGTTGAGGGGGGTTGAACACTTGATGGCAATGATGAAGCAGGTAAAGATGAGGGTAAACTAGCAGTGTTTGAAATCAACTGAGAGGGGTATTCAGGCAAGTTTGAACTCGGTAAGCCCAATCCTCCCGTTGGAATTGATGTGTTGAAAGCCGAATACTGCATTTGCGGCATGGAAGGAGTCATCGACAATCCAGGTGGTGGCCGAAGCAGCGATTGTTGGTTTAATTGGGGTAGACCATTAGGGGTACCATAAAATCCTGACCAATACATTGGCATGCCAAGTCCACTGGCACTTGCACTCTGTTGTGGAAGTGAAGAGCCCCAAGGGCCAAAATTCCCTCCAGGCTGATACAAAGGTAGGGCACTTTGGGCTTGGGAGAAAGAACCAGGATTACCCAGCTGCGTGGACTGAGAATTAAGATCCATTGCTGGTGCACTAACTACAGTAGGCAAGCTGGAAGATGTGGTAGGTGGACGAGGATAATGGGACTGCAAGAATAAATCTTATTAAGAATATAATGAAATAATTTTGATGGATAGTATAAATCCAAGTTCTACATTGCTTGCCTGGATAATAGCTGGGTCATTGTTTATTTGTGGTACACTCTGAACAGGTGAAGAAGTCTTAACTTGTAAATCCTGAAAAGAAAAAAAAAGAAACATCAAGGTTGAGTTGATTCCAGGTGCAGCCTTTATACCCTAGCTAAGTGCTCTAAAAGGTGCTCACAAGTGTCACAAGGGGCCAAGAAAATATAAAGAGCCAAGAAAATATAAAGATTTTTGTTTATATTTTTCCTGGCCCTATTACAGCTTTTATTCTTTTCATAATCGAGATAAATCATTCAGTTATATTATCTTTTACACCATAAGATCTAGAATGAATAATTAATTGTATTCAAGTCAATCAAATACAGCTCAATAAACAATATTTAACCACAAAATGCGATAATCAATCTACACTTAATATATAGTACAACACACAACACCTCAAATTTTATGATGTATTACAAAATGATCTTTGACCCCACAAGTTATAAAAGTGCTCAAGTATCAGACATCAACTCACAATCACAATAAAGTATTGTTGAAATAGTAAGACAACTTATCTACAACTTAATTTGTTGTTTAGATAATGAAAATGTTGGGCATCACTCTTGATACTATTCCCCTTTTTTTCTTTAGCATAAGAAATAGGCAACGACAAGCTTGCGAATTGGCAAGTTGTGTCCAGATAACCCAAGTGGCCAAATGTTCTGCTCCGGGCACCGCCTAGGCTAGCGCTTGAGAGAAAATATGGGTAGCCTAGACTCTCCTTGGGAAACCACTTATGACAGTATGACACCTAGGTACCCAAAACAGTGTTTCTATGAAGTGTGAAAGACAGCGTCAAATACATTTATGACAAATGGCTGTCAAATTGATAGCTACAATGTTCAGTAAAATGTAAGAATTGGTGATGGATCTAGGAATCAAAACACAGAATTAGACTCCCTAGTATAGGGTTTTTTTAAATGAACATTTTTTTTATCATAAGGCAAAGAATGCACTTTTTACTCCATCAAGAACTAAATGCCTTAAAACACTTCAGCATATTGTTCTATCTAACGCAAGGACACGATGTATAAAGGTCTACATGCTAAAATCAAAATGAGCAACCTACCTTGATATCAGTTCCCCGAAATAATATAAATTCGTAAACTTTGTCACTGGGAAGAACTTGGGGACCCTCTTTTCTCCTTCCTTCTGTTCCAAATGATCTTACTGCCAAATACAAACTCACAACAATAATGACTCAAATGCTATAAAAAAACATAGCAGTGTTCTCTAGTAATCAGATAGAAAAATAAAAAATCAACATTTGAATGTTCATTTATTCTAGACATCAAATGCAACATAAACAATGCAGTTCCAGTCTACATATTATCAAATACTCCAATTTCTAAGCATGTAACAAATCAAAGAAGAAAACTAAGAGATAACCATTTGATAAATAAAAGGCAAGACAACTCACTCATTGGATAGATTTTTGGGACACCTTGCATTCCTTTGATAAAATTTTCATATATTGTTAATTTATATTTGTCGTATGGGTACATAGCCAAAACCTATGGATTCTAATTACAATGGAAACCATTGTACGCAACTAAAACAAGAATCAAAATTCATTTTAAAACAACAGAAGAGGCATACAAAATCACTTGAAATACTGCTACTTGATAGCTTTAAAAACAAGAAATTAAAAAAAAACGGGGAGAAAGTTACCGTTTCGCAGGCCGATACTGGACTCCTCGGTGTTGATGTTAATCAAAATACCTTCGTATCTGATCTCGCTCTTCGACGTCAAGCTAATCAAGCTCCCGACGTAAGATTCGGGCGATGTCCCAGATCTAGGCGCCGACGAAGAACTGTCCGCCGCCATGCTCCGCCACTGAAACCGCTCACCGCCGATTGTATGCACAAGAGTGAGATAGAGAGATGGAGAGTCGCAGCTTCACTGTGTTTGAAGATTAATTATTGGGGAGGGGGGAGAAAGAAGAACAAGAAGATGACCGGAAGGGATTGAGGAAAATTATATGTAGGGTTTCAGTTCCTCCAAATTGAGGGGTTTGTTTCGTGAATATGGAGTTTTCATGAGAGGGAAACAAGATGCCGAATGTTGAAAGGGGAACTTTACAGGGTGTGAATTGAGCAGAAATTGTGGTTCCATTCACTCATTCAGAGGGCCAAATCGCAATTTAGGAAATCTGCGGCCCAGTTTGAAAATTGAATTCAATGCGGTGCTTGATGGTTCGTTTCCTGCTTAAACGTGCATTTTGATTTTTGAGATAGCCACGTAGGACGCCTGATGTTTGACTTGGACATAGATCATGTGTTATGGCGGATTTGACTGGACTTGATTTCACTTGACGTAGTGTGAAAAGATATGACTTAGAGTGATAAAAATATACTCTCTCCGTCCACATTTTGATTACAATATTCTCTTTTTGACTACTTTAATAATAGGTCATATCAAAAAAAGTTTTCTCAAAATACCCCAACAATGTATTAATGGTGGGAACCGTAAGTATGCACTCCCTGCCGTAATTTCATTTTTGCGTACAACAAAGTGCGCTTGATATATGTTTGGCTTGCAAAGAACACATTAACAATTAACGCAAGATAGTGATGGTTCCGACTAATCTGACCATCAATGGGGAAGATCGCGGCAACAGCTACTATTCCTGTGGTGGAAGTTCGCCGAGCTCCGCCTCTTATGGCCAAGCCTCATCTACCTGATTCTGATTCTTGTGAAATCAAAAGTAAGTTTATCCATTTAACACCAGATCTAGATCTAGAATGTGATTCTTGGGTCAGAAATAAAAAGTAGGCATCCATGGATCTGAAGTCAATGGAGAAGGCGAAGACATAAGAGGAATTTTGGAGAGGGAAGATAAACAATAAAAGAGGAAGGGGGGGGGAGAGAAGAGGAGGAGAGATCTGCGGAGAAGAAGATTAAAGTGTGGATCTCAAAATGTCAGGGATGTGGAGAGTGGGTATTAAAGGTGGGGGTATTTTTGTCTTAAAGGTGAGCAAATGTTACTAAAGTGGCATTTTGTAATCTATTTTGGGACAAAAAAGATAGAGAATATTGTAATCAAAATGGGGACGGAGGGAGTATATATTGTGAGGCTTCAAAGAGAGGTGATCAAAAGTGATCGGATAAAAATGTAAATTATTTTGATTAGTTGAAATTAAAGAGAGAGAGAGAGAGAAGGGAGTCTGCGGCGAGATGCCCTCGTGCAGGATGAGGCTCACGCCCCTTCGATGAAGTACCGACACGGTGAATTATGCGTGAGGGAGGTAGTGACGCTCTCCTCATGCCATGATAACAAACGACTTTATAGTTTTTTGTAATTAGGCTTCTCTGGTATAGCATTTTCTATTGGTTTTAGCGTTTTGTATTTAAAAATAATAATTATGTAGATTAATTCTATAAACGCTGACACTATAAACTATTATTAGAACTTTTTCAAAAATGTTAAAGTTTAACTCCAACTTTTTCAAGATTTATAATAATTCTTACTATAGATAAATGAGGTTAGTGGCGATGGGGTAGACAATAGTAGTGGTAGCCAATCGTAGGAGTGGTAAGCACTTAAGGATATTTTAAACTTTTAAATTGAAATCTCCTAAATTGAGGAATTATTGTTAAATATGTAAAGTATATATCACATATTTAATATTATTGTTATATTTGGTAGATTCCTTGATTGTATAGGATTTGTATTTAATATTGTTTCCCTTCCTATACACCTCCTACATGTATATAAGGGGAGGTGATTTACTTGTAATGATTATCAAATTAATACATTTCTTCATGGTATCGGAGCCAACCCTAGGCTAATCCCGTTACGTCTTCTCTCTCTCGGCGCCGCTGGCCTTGTCTCACCCAGTCCCGATCTCCCACTCTACCGATCTCCCTCTCTTCGTCTTCCTCTCTCTCTCGCCGGCAACCAGCAGCCCCCCTCCCATCTCTCCTTATGGCAGCCGAAAAATCAACCTCTCCCTCTACCCCTCATCTTGCCTTCACCACCGTTTCAAACGTCAAACTCCAGGTTCCCATAACCCTCAGTTTCTCAGAACCAAATTACAAAAAATGGAGTCGTCTCTTTCTTCTATTGGTTCGGCGTTTCAATCTCGAAGGTTTTCTCACCGGTGCAACAACCTCCACCGGCAAAGATGATGCTGATTGGTTGCAACTTGATGCTCTTATTCAAGGATGGATTCTATCTACCGTTAATGACGAAGTTTCAGATCTCATTATCTCCTCCACCACCTCTGCCGCGGATCTTTGGAAAGCCATTCATAATTTGTTTCACGACAATAAAGCCGCTCGAGCCATGCAATTGGAGCAACGCTTCTACAGCACCGTCAAGGGCGCATCCACTATCGCCACTTATTGCCAAACTTTGCGGAATATTGCTGATTGGTTAGATGACGTGGATGCCCCGGTGACGGAAAATCAGCTTGTCTTGCAAACCCTACGTGGCCTTCCCGAGGATCTCGGCTCCCAGGCGTCCTTTCTGCAATTCCAAAAACCCCCGCTGACTTTCATGGAGACCAGATCTGCACTTCTCCTCCTCGAAGGACAACGTCGCCCACAAACAGCTTCCGGCGACGAGGGAACTGCCCTGGCCACTCTCGGCCACGGTGGACACGCCGGTTCCGGCAGCAGGGGCGCGGTGGTGCGCCTGCAGGCGGCGGGCAGCAGGGCGGCAGTGGCGGCGGACAGCACTATGGCAGACAGCTTCAGGGCGGACAACCTCAGGGCAACGGCGGACGCGGGTACGGCTATGGTGGACGCGGTGGACGACCGAACCGCGGTCGCGGTCGAGGTCGTAACTCTGGATTCAACTCCCGGATTACTCCAACGAATTTTGGACCCTGGCAAACCTCTTACCAAAACCCCGGCCCAGGCCTACTGGGCCCACGCCCCACCCCCCAGCCCTTCCCTGCCCAGGCCCACTACGCCTCCCCCACTTACCC